AATACAAAATAATTTATTTACAAAAGAGATTAAAATTTTATTAAAAAATACTATTACATTAACTTATTCTAAAATTCAATGGTGTTTATCAAGATAAAAATTTCTCAATCTTACTTATAATGGATAATTTGAAAGTTTTAATTTTTTAAAAAAGAGAAAAAAAGGGCGTAAATATCAAAATGAAAAAAAAATATTATGCAGAGTTAGATCATTTTTCAACTCCATTTAATGAATTATTTAAAAATACTACATATTATACTTTATTAAGGATTGGTAACTGAAAATTTTGTGGATTTATTAATACTTCATTATCTGCAAGTCTCAGATCCTTATCATTTAATTCTTGATAATATTTATTCTCAATATCATCTAATTGTTTTTCTTATTTTTCAATTGTATATTTTAATTCTTGAATTAATTTTCATTGGTAATGATGGTTATATAATATTCCTTAATTGATTATTTTAAGTTCAAATATCAATTCTCAATTTTTCTATAATTCTTATTTAAAAAAAAAAATCAATTTCTAGTTGTGTTATGCAATTTGTTTATACATCCAATTAATAATTTTGCAATTTGATGTCATTTTCTTTATTTTCAAGAAGAGATTAAAGATTTATAATTTCCTATTTCAATTTAGATCATTGATCATTAAGTCAATAAAGAATTTCTTCTATTTTTTATGTATTAAGTAACTATTAATAATGAGTATGGATTTCTTCATTTTATTTATTTGTTTTTCGTAAAACAGTGATTTAGTTGATTTATTATTAGATCTATTCACACATAGTTTTAATAGATAGTTTATTATCTATTAAAATCAAATTTTGAGAAGACTTTCCATTTTGATGGTAGATTTGTTGTTTTAATTTGAATGGATTTTATTATGCTTAGATACTTGATCCACTCATTATAAATAATTATCATAATTGTTATTGTTATATCTCAACATACGCGACAATCTACTTTCAAGAAGTTTATTCAATTATTATGATTATTCACTTACACTCAATCTAAATCGTTAATTATTTAGTTTAAGACTTTCAACATTTTTATTGAATCTCCTTCTGCCTTAGACATAATTACTCTTTTCTTTGTACTCTTGAGAATAAATCTTTTATTTAAATTACAAAGACTTATTTTTTTACTATTTCACAATGAATTATAATGTGGAATTAGGAATAAATCTAGTTTTATTTATTACGGGAGCTAATTCTATAGTATTTAATTGAGATTTTGGTTTCTTAATGCTAACAACAGTAAATGGAGTTTCTTAAGTAGAAAGTGAACGTCTGTGTGTATAATAGTGTTATTTATTAATCTCACTAATTACTGATTTCTTTAATTATTCAATTGAACCTATAGGATTATGTACTCCTTCAACAATTTCCCTTAATAAATACATTTATTAATTAACGAATAAATATATGTTCATTTCACAATCCAAATTGTTAGAATGTAAGTTAATCATATTAATTATAGAATGTTTATTAGACATTACTAAATAAGTCTTAAGAGAGTAAATCGATCGAGAAAATAGAGGAGCTGTTCTTAATCGAATTAAAGAAATCACTTTAGAAACCTTCCAAAGACATTATTCTGATGAGATACATCTTCTATAATAAGAATTACGTTAATAAACACAGGCAAATGACCGTGTCAAAAGAGAATATTAAGATAGAGAATAATAATTAATAATAGATTTGGATCGTAAATTGCATGAATAATAGATTTTGCAAGTTTAAGAAATCAAGAGACTCTAATAATTATGTGATGAATAAACTGATTTAAACCATAAACAATCCTTAAACATTGAAAAACTAAATAAACAAATCAAAGATTCTCATCTTACTAATTAAAAATTAACTTTAGAACTTTAACAACTTAAGGATATTCATTAATCTATTGATCTATAATCAAGGTTTAAATCTTAGGAAGGATAGGAATATAAATCTAAAGCAGAATAATATTAATCTGCCTATACACACCTCGAATAACAATTCAAATCCTTTAAATTAGAATCTGATAAATAATTAAAGGATTATTAAAGAAAATTATAAACAGTTTATGATCAAAATCTACTCTAAGAAACTGAAATCTCTAATCTCAAATCAGAAATTGAATAACTTAAAATTAAAAAATAATAAGATGCTTAAAAATAAAAAGAAGCCTTAGAATCATTAAAGGAAAAAAGTCAAAACAAAATTTAAGAATATAAGCTTAAAGTGAAAGATCTATAAAACAAGGATTAATATATTATTGAACTTTAAGAGCAAGTCAAAGAATTAGAACAATAAATTGAATTCCATTCCACTTAGCATAGACAAGGGATCAAGATGTTGGAGTTGTAATACAAAAAATAATATACCAGATTAGAGGAAAATCTCGAATAAGAAAAATCAGATTTATAATAACATCTCACATCAACTTTAGATTTTACTATATTAGAAAAAGATAAAGAAATTATTGGTCTAACTTAGGACATAAAGCAATTAAAAATTTAATTATAAAATGAATAAGATTTAAAATTAAAGAACACTTCAAAAAATGAAGAAAATATTTAAATATTAAAGAAACAAAATGAAGAATAACAAAAGTAAATTTCGGAACTCATCTAAAAAAATAAAACACTTGAATAAGAAATAAACAGGAAAGATTAGAATCTCATATTATTATTAGCTGATGTTGATGATTTGAAATAATTTTCAGAATAAACTTTGAACACTTTAAAAGAGAATCAAGATTATATGGGCGAAATCGAAAGAGAAAAATAATAACAATAAGAAATCATTTTATCTATTCAGCATTAATTAGAAATAGAAATTTAAGGATCTTTCTCATATCAAAGATTAGGATAAGAATTAGAATAAAAATGTAGATTATATAAAGAAGAACATAATTTATTATTAGATGAATAATTAAAGAAAGAAGCATAATATTAATAAGAGATTTAATTGAGAGAAACCAGATTTAAACAAGAAATAGATAATTAAAATACAGAACATAAATTAATTGTAGAAAATTTTGAAAATTAATTGAAAAAATTGAAGTTAGAAAATAAGTTACAAAATGAAGAGTAAATAAGATCTTATAATACCATATAAAAGGAATTATTTTAAAAAGGATAGCAATGTGAAAATTTAGAAAAATAAAATAATAAGTTAGTAAATGAATTAGAGTAATACATATCTCAATATACTCATAATTTATAATTATTGGAAGAACAAAAAGTAAAAGAAAAGAATTTAATCGAAACTTCAAATAAAAATTAAAATTAATTAAATACTGAAAAACATTAATTAGGATTAAAAATAGATGAATTATAATTTAAATATAGATCTATGAAATAAAAAGTTCAAAGATTATTTATTAGATAAAAAGAATAATTTAATTTATAATTAATTGAGATGAAATAAGTGATTTTGAATAAATTAAAGAATTATGATTCTGAAAGTAGATAATTAATATAGAGTTTAGTTAAGAAATTAAACAATGTATAAATATACTCTAAATAATTTAGTTAATTGATTAAAGATTATAACAAGAAAAGAGAGAGAATGAATTTTAAGTAATTGAATTATAAAAAGAGATGGAAAGGAAGATTGAGCAATTAAAGCGATAATATAAATAAAATGAATAATTAATACAAGAAGAAGCTCAAATAAAATTTAAATAAAAATTATCATAAATGTAATAACATGATTAATCAATTGATGAATTAAAAAATTAGTTGGATTTCTATATTAATGAGAATGATCATCTGTAATAGAAACTTTAAGTATAAGATTAAATTAATAGAGAATAATAGAAAAAAGCAGAATATGAGTAAAGATAACTCCATTAGACAATTAAAGAATTAGAGGATGAATTGTAATAAATCAAATTTACTATCATGTTAGAAACTAAATATAATAATCAGCTGATTATACTTTGAAGGAAAGATAATTTTTAGAATAAAGATACAATGAACTTAAGGATAAATCAGAAAAGAAAATGGATTAAATATAAAGAGATTATTAGTAGTAAATATATCAACTTGAAACAATAATCTAACCAATTTAACAAAGAGCCTAATCTCCTCCTTTGCATTAACACTCATTATCATCAAGTACAGGATTCCATCGTTCACCTCCATAATAAAATATATCTTCAGTTAAATGTAAGATTTAATAAATATTTTTATTAAAGATCCATATACAAAACCTCCATAATTTAGTAGTCCATCACTTAGGACACCAAATAAATCACCTTCAAATGATAGAACTGATAAAACAATTGAAGAATTAAGAGCAGAGATTTAATAATAAAAAGAAAAGCTTTCAAGAATGAAACTCAATTTTACAGAATCTCAAAAAAAATCTAAAACTTTGTCTAAGTTTTGATGAATCATATTATAAATATACTATATTAAAATATAATTATTGTATTATTATATTGATAATTTTAATAAGACTTAAATTTTTCTAATTTTTTTAATAAAAAATTCAGCATAATAATTTAAATTATAAAAAATACATCTGGAAATACCTATTTAAGTTATTTATCATAATGTATTTTGTAATTTCTTATTTATAATTAAATTTTTGAAATTAAAAAAAATTGATAGTTTATGAAAATCTCTTATATTAGTATAATTGAATATTATTAGAACTCCATAGATTTAGGAAACAATAAGTTAATTAACTTTTGTTATGATAATTTTATGTAACCTAAGTAGAATAAGGGAGATAAAAAAAATTCTGGTATTCCAGCATAATAATGGATAATAAAAAAGGGTAAATCAAGTAAAATAAATATATAATCACTGATATCTTTTTAAAACTCCTTTGATGATAAAACTATTGAGTCTTCTGGGAGAACTCTTTTTTAGAGGAGTGAAAGATCTATTGAGTTTTTTTTATTTTAAAGGTGGATTATGTTATTTTGGATTTTCAATTGAAGGTAATCGAAATTAAGTTCTTGGAACAGTTTAAGGGGTTTCAAAGTATTCTTATTCAAATGAGATTTTCATCCATTCATGATTGAGAATGTCATAAAGTTTAATTCTTTTTTGAGGATCAATGAAGAAGATACGAGATAATAAGTCTATAAGATAAGGAGAGACATTCTTTTTAGAGAATGTATAGTTATTGTTTGTAATGTTTTAAATGATGTCAAAATTAGAATCTCCCTCAAAAGGATATTTACCAAAGATAAGATGAAATAGTATAACACCCATAGCCCAAACATCAATGTGAGGTCCAATTTTTGAATTATTTCCTTAGAGTGTTTCAGGAGCCATATATCTAATGGTTCCAATATTTAATTTATCCATATTGCTATTAACAGCCATTCCTGCAATACCAAAATCAACTATTTTAATTAAAGTATCATTCTTATTAGCAAACATAATATTTTCAAGTTTGAGATCTCTATGTATAAGTTTTCTATTATGGCAATACATCATAGCATCACAAATCTATCTAAAATACATTCTAGCCTCTTCTTCACATAATTAACCCTTAGCTTGATTTAAATATTATAAATACCTTGAGTATACTTTTAGAGATCACCACCTTCTAAATATTCCATTACAACTATAACCTACATATTAGATAGTGGATAACAATTATAAAATTTTACTATATGTTTATGATTAAGTGATTTCATTAAGTATGCTTCTCGAAATACCAATTCAATATCATTTGCATCTCTATTTCTAGTATTTACATATTTTATTGCAACTAAATTTAGGCTTTCTTTATGTCTACCTAATAACACTTTACCAAATCCTCCTTTACCCAATTATTCAAGGATCTCATACTCTTAATGAATAATATTTGCATCAAAATCTTCACCTCTTGTGATATACAATTTTGAATTATCTTTTAAGTAAATCAAATCTTCATTAAATAGTTCCACTCCATCTTATGTAAATACTCGAAAATGTCTCAAACTTATTTAATGTTTCTATTCACATAATTGTCTCAATTCTTTTAGTGAAGTATCTCCATAGATAGAAACTTAAAATTTGCGATCACTCCCTAATAAAGATATATTGAGTATTTTTGTGTTAGAAGGTTCATTATATTCATGAAACATTTATAAGTGAAGTATTTTTAATTTATTTATGTCTTAAATTATCATTTATATA